AAGTAACAGTGCAAACAAGAGTGTGTTCCTGAGCCAATAATATATTAAACATTGGGGCACAGAAGGAGAGGTAGAAGGAGTCTCCAGCTCTGGTGGTACAGGCCCAAGGGGACTAGTACATATTTTCCAACTGGTAGGAGAGTCACAGGGAGCTGAGAACTACCCAGGCAGCAGAAAGAGGGTTGGGAGGGAATGTCTGACATCAGGAGCCAAATGTGGCTGGTGAATCTCAGAAACCCCTCCCTTTGTGTTCCCATTTGTCCCAAAGGAAGATAGGAAAAAGGCGATTCCTCTCCCTTTCTCCTCTACATTAGCCCCAAACTTACGGGTATGTTGACCAGACTAATTGCTGCTGTCCTGATATTTGACTATGGCACAAATGGGAGCCCCTGAGTATAGCCATTGCTTCTAACTTGTACCACCTTCCGGAAGGGAGGTTTCACATAGGCCTTGGCACCAAGTTGCACCAAGGCTTGTGGTCCTCCTGTGGACTTCCTGTGCCTGGAGAAGTATTTCTATCCCCAACAGCTGTCTTCTCCCTCCCCTCACTTCTGATAGCCAATAAAAAGACTAGTATAATCTGACTTGTTCCTGGAAGCCAGGGCATAGTGATAGGGTATGGAGACCTCTTTATCTGTGTATAGAATATCACCTCCCATTGCCAGCTTTTGAGCACCCAGGATCCTGTGTTCTAAACAAGCACATGTCAGCAGACCTGAACAGCAGTATCTCTAGTGTTTGTTCTTATTTTTCAGCCACATGGGGAATATGATTATACATCCCTAGTGGGGGTGGGAGGGAAGAGTCTGATCCTGAATGCATTCTGAAATGGAATATTTCCAAGCATTTTTAAAATACATGCATCCATCATGGTGATAAATTTCAGGCATTACCTTACCAAACACAAACAAGTTCCCTATAGAGCTTATGTGAAGTGCAATATTAAAGCGTGGGCATTGTCTATCTCTCCCCCAACATAACAGTAAAGAGAACATTGAACTGTGCCTTTCCATGATATTCCACCTGCCTCTTTCTTCCTTGAGATGCAGAACATTTCTGGGAAAACAGCCTAATCAGATTGGTTTTAAACTCAAGCCTAAATGGTGAAACTACACAAAGCATATAGATCAGAATGGAATCTCTTTTCTGTGACAGCTCCTCTTTGTCTAGACTGAAGTGACCATATTCTGTCTCTACTGGTTCTAGGCCATGGAGGATATGGCAGAGACAGAAAATGAGGTGCAGCTTCTCCCTGTGTCCCCAGCCCAGACTGAGGGGCTGGATAGGATCACAGCCCCAGACAGCTCAGTGCTTCTAGTGTCTGGGTGGGCATCTGCCAGTCTCTGCCCAAATAGGACCCCTTCACTACCAATATTCCTCCTAGGCCTGTGTCTCCACCAAGGCAGGAAGGGGTACTTGGTTATAAACTGTCAATAAGTTGCTGAGTACTCCTAGTTCCTCTATAAACTAGAATCTTCTCAGTTTGACTTAGCTACTACAGTTCACAGGACAACAAAGCATAATGTACAGTTTCAATGAAACAGTTGTGAGTGTCCTGCATACCCCCGCCAGGGGGTAGGCTGTGGAAACGTGGGCTGTCCCTAACCCTTTGTAGTTGGTGTGAGAGTGACTCCTGGGGCAGGCAGGCAGGAAGGAACAGAGCAAAGAAGCAGCCGGGTGTTCTGTTCATTGTGATTTCAAAAGGCCCTTTGGCAAAATCTCATGGGCCAGGAGGCATTGATTGGTTAGGTCTGCAGGTGCTTTGGATGTCAGGTGATTATGAGGACAATGAAATATGTACTGTAGGTGACATGACTTTATATGAAAAGCTACTTGGGATCATCCTCCATTTCAACTCTTTCTCCCTTGACACTCTGCATGGCCTTGGGAAAACAGCTTTTTCACTACTGGCTCTAAGTAAGTGGAAACTCCCCCCATCCTACTTGTTTCATTCATTGAGTAGGTTGCCTATTTAAGAAGAGCCAAGCCGAGGGAGTAAAAGGGCAAGTAAAACATGCTTTCTTCTAACCCTCATGGTTCTTGCAGTGGTGATCCTCCCACCTACACCCTCTTTAGCCTGAAAGAGGGATCCATAGCCTGGTGGAGCCATTCCAGGGATAAGGACCCATCATCCCCTCCCCACTACCATGTAGGAAAAAGTTTTCTCACCTGGACCACCGTACTTTTTTTTTTTTTTAAGATTTATTTATTTATTTGAGAGAGAGCACAAGCAGGCGGGGAGGAGCAAAGGAAAGAGGGAGGGGAAGCAGACTCCCTGTGGAGCCAGATTTGGAGCTCAATTTCTCCAGACCCTGAGATCATGACCTGAGCTGAAATCTAGAGATGGATACCCAACTGACTGAGCCACCCAAGTGCCCTCCGAGAACCCTAATTTTCACCTATAAATATAGAAAAGGGCAAGGAAGGCACATCAGCAGATATCTACAGAGTACCTGCTCTTTGCCCAGTGTGGAGGGTTCTGTGATCTGAGTAACCCAGGCTTTTCAGTGCAGCCTCTGGGTGGGGGAGCATCTTGGTCTGTAAAACTAAAAGCTGTCTACCAATATCCCTAAGCCTTCCCTGTGAAAGAGGAGGTGCTGTAGGGGAATAACCAGACCAGTGGGTTGAAGTTGGATAAAAAAAAGTTTGAATCTGTAAAAAGACAGATGTTACAAATTTGGCACTTTCTGCAAATAGGACAAACTGATGAGAGATAACAAGTGTCCCATCTCTAGAAGGCCTTTAGCAAAAATTAGACATGGAGTTGGAGTTGAGATTATATGACTTGTGGGGTCCCTGCTGCGAATTCCAGATTTTGTGCCTGGAAGAACTGTCAAGAGAGAAACTAGGATTTATCCTACAGATACACTTGCATGTGTTTCTTCTACAAATGTGTACAGAATAGTCATGGCACTGTTGAGAATCGAAAAGATTGGAGACTACACATGTGCCCACCAAGGGACTGGTTAAATAAATAGCCACACACTGGAAGACGTACCTTATCCATTAAAAAAAAAAAAAAAAAAAGGATGTTCTTATGAACTGTGGAAAGAATTCCAATGTATTATTAGAGAACAAGATGCAGAACAGCATATATAGACCTCCTCTTAGTATGGGAGTAGTAGAATATCTTTATATGTTTACTTACATGTGACTGCAACAGTCATCTGGAAGCATACTTAAGAAACTAGTTATACCAGTTTCTACAGAGAGGAGAGCTAGACAGCTGGGAGATAAAGATAGGGAGGTTTTTCTCTGAATAACCTTTGTACCTTTTGAACTTTGAACATATAGATGTAGGACTTGTCAAAACATACAAGTAAAAACATTTAAAAAAATAACAAGGTCTTACTAGATTAGAGTTCTGAGAAAAACAGAAGGGAAGTGGAAAACAAATGAGCCTTTTACTGGGTATCTACTAAGCCAGGTCTTTGGCCAGATGCTACTTTTAATCCATACAACAACCACTTACCGGAGGCAAGACCCATTCCTGTTAATGTAGATTTAACTGAGGCTGGGAAAGGGTGAACATACTTGCCTGTCCACATGGGTGGACATTGCACCATGCTGTCCGTTGAAGGAGGCAGCTCTTGAAATGGGGGCAGGGGAGGCCAAAGAAAGTGATACAGTAGGAAGGGAAGGAGGAGGGCATTATCTTCCAGGGACTGGGCAGACCTGCTGTGGTACCGCCCATTTCTCTGCCAGCCTCTGCACTGTGGGGCCAGTAAGCAGAGGCACACCTCCCTGTGCTCCACAGGTCAGATGTGTTGTGTTTCTCTTGGCTCTTGCTGAGCTCAGGGATAGAGTTCACCATGCCTGTCAACAGGCCATCAGGTGACTGCTGGGTCGGCAGTCATTTCTGTGGCTGGAGGAAAATAGCCTCAGCTCCCAGCTGCAAAGGGAACAATGGTGCTTGTTCTGTGCTCTTCTGCTAGGTGTCAAATGCGCCATCTTTATCTGCCAGCTGGAGGCTGGCTGGAAAGTTGTTGGGTTTTTTGTTTGTTTGTTTGTTTTGATTGTCAGACCCAGGCTCCTTACTTACACTTGAGGGAAAAAGCATCCAAGTTCTGGTACAAAAGGTTCTCATTTCTTTTTCTTTTTTTTTTTTTTTTGGAAAAAAAGCTACAAATGAGCTCATTATCACAGCAAACCCAAAAGAGGGGGAGGAGAGGAAAAGAAGGTGGCCTCCTTGTTACTGCCCTGTCCTGCCCCTGGCCAGATTTCCTGGAGTGGGGGGTCTTGGATCTGGCTCAGGGTGACCAAAGCCAGATGGCTGGAACAGGTGGTCCACACAGGGGGCAATGCCGGAGACATTGGATACTTCGAGACCAGCTCTCTCTGCTGCGATCCAGAGGAAGGATACGTGTCTGTACCTTCAGGGAACAAAAAATCATGCCTACCTCCCTTTGACTTCTAAGAGGTTCCTGTGTTCAGGTTCTCTGCTGGTCCCAGATCTCAAAATTGTCAGACCTCAGAGCCAGCAGTCAGGCAATATCAGTTATATGTTGAATCCTTAGGATTTTGCCAGGCACTGCTCTAGGCACTGGGGGTGTTGCACGAGACCAAGTTGGCGAAGTCTCTACTCATGGAATTTAAGTTCTGGTGTGACCAGTGAAATGTGCCAGGTCTAGCCTGCTGTTGGCCCCAGTGCCCTGTCTCTGCTGGGCTGGGGGAACTGCTGCAAGGAATGATACATAAATGCCTTGGAAGGAAGATTCTCTGGCATTTCTAGCAGCTGAGCACAGGTTGTTTCCCACTTCCTCTCTTCGGAGCGTGTCTTTCACCCCCACCCCCCACCCCCATTAGGCTGTGGTCACAGAACAGCCTTGATCTGTGCGGCAGAGTTCTGATCCCTTGCAGGTTGGTGCTGGACCTTGGAATTCCCTGGAAGAGACCTGGAGGGCTTCCCCACCCTCCCACCCCCGCCCCAGGCGCTGATGGTGAGCTGGCAATGTTTAACCTGAACCTGACAGCCTCTCTTTGTTCCTCTTCTGTTTCAGATTGAGAAAATCATGAGCTCTATTGGAGAAGGAATTGACTTTTCTCAGGAACGGCAGAAGATCTCAGGTATTGTACCAAGCAGCCGTTCTTGCCATGGAATACAGACCTTTGACTCTTTTCTGGCTTGGGTTTTCCTCTGACTCCGAAGACAGACATTTGGTGTGTGAGAGAGAGGTCAGCCTCAGCCCCGAATCGTGCTCTTGCAGTTCAGAATCTCATGTGTCTATATGGCCTATTGAGCTGTTACTTTAGGGCTATGACACTTTTTACATACTGGAGGGGAAATTGCATTTTTGGCGGGCCTTTTAGGAAAGTTTCTCTGTCTCTCTCTCTCTCTCTCTCTCTCTCTCTCTAAAGGTTGTCACTTATCCATAATTATTTCTGTAAATATAGGCTTTTTCCAGTTGGCCCATATTGGAGTGTACCTCAGTGTTGGTCTCTCCAGCTTCCCAGACAGCTCTGGCACTAGCCCTTCATGAGAAAGTGGCTCTCGTTTGCCTGCTCCATGGCAGTGGCAGTGTTGGGTTGGATCAGTGGGCTCAGACTGTTAGCCTGTATCACCCAGAGGAAGTGGCTTTGCCGCTCCTCCTTGTCTTTTTCTTCATTTTTACATGTATTTAGTCATTCATCATTTTTACTCCAAATCACTGCTACTCTGGGCATTGTTTTCTTTTCAAAGCCCTATGGGGTGAGGCCTGCCTCATTTTCCTTTGTTTTAAGCAGGCAGCTAGAGAGCCCATATCTGAGCTGTTTTCTTTGATAATGGAATTGTGGTTGTGTTATTTTCTCAGGTGAGGTGACCTTTCTAAAGGTGCCTCTTAGCTAGAGCAAATCTCATACCTTATCCCTAAGCATCTGTAGACCACCCTGCTCCCTCCTGAGAGCAGCTTCATGGGGCCTGGCTTCTCCCTATCATTGAGGAAATGCCTCTCTAACTGAAGGGATGGTATTCCCTGCTCACTCAGGAGGCTTCATCCAGGATTGACCTGTGACCCCTCTCATTCCTCTGGCCCTGTCAGGAAGTCTGAGGGATGGGGACAAGTACTCACATCAGTGCTTGTGGAAAGAGCATAGGTTATATACAGGTCTTGGGCAAGTCACTTAGTCTCCCTAAGCCCCCAATTCTCTATCTTCAACATTTGAATAAGAGTACCTGCCTCATGGATTTGTTGGGAATGAGTACTCTATACAAATACTTGAGCAGAACAGGTAGACAGTAGATCTGCTTGGTTTTTGTCTATGAAATAATTACTTAATCGTACTGAAAAACCTAAAGGAAAGGGGCATCTGCTCCCCTGGCTTGTCTCCCTCTACCACTTTTCCACCTGGGATTCCTGGAGCCTCTTCCCTCCAGCAGCCTTCTTTCCCTGGTTCCTAGCAAAGAGGGCCCAGCTGGGTTTGGTCTGTCTCTGTTGGTCTTGGATCATGCTGGGGTCTGCAGAAGTTGCTCTGCTGGCTAAGAGTTTGTGGCTCTGTTTCCCCATGCTCAGGCAAACAACCTCACACTCTGTTGTAGCATGCGGGCTTTATCAAGAGTCAAGTGTTTGTTGGGAATAGATGTTCAGTACTGAGACAAACACCGTTGCCTGTTTTCCAAGCTGTGCTTTGGGTGCAGCCAGGAACGGAGTAGATAGCATTCAGTTCAGTTGAAGCTGCTTTCTGCTTCCCTGTACCCCTGTATGTCCAGGAATGCATGTGCTTGAGAGTTTGGGTCAGAGTAGGCCATTACCTCTCAACTTTGATAAATCAGGGGATGGGGCAGCACCTCTGAAAAACACATTTCTGGAAGAGCCCCTCTCGGAGATGGTGACACTGAGCTCTTTCCTTGCCCCGTGGGTCCCACTCAGCAGTTCTTACCCCTGCAAACCCATATGAGTGGTGAGAGCTGGTCTGGCTACCTGCCTACATCATTGGATCGCAACCAATGGTCCTGTTTTAGCACTGTGGAGTTGAGCTATCCTCCATCTAGCCCCTTAGGAGAGTCCAGGGCAGGCACAAAAGAACAGCTACCTGAACAGAGGGTGCATCCACCCAAACTGCAGAGTCCTGGCCCACTGTGTGTGTACTGCTACCAGGCCAGGAAGCATGGAGAGAGTAGAACTGTCTGCCCATGAACTCTGTCTTCTACCAGATGAGTCAGGAAGAGGCTTTCCCCAGGACCTCAGAGAGCATTAGCCTTCAGCTCAGACCAGAACAGAATTCTTATTTATTTTGAATGGTCAGTAGCAGGGTCCAGATTTTCCTTAGATTTCTGGATCTAGAAGAGGCCTGGGCTCTGGGGTTGCCAGCCTGGGAAGAAGAGGAGCAGGCCTTCCAGCAGGAAGCCATTAACAAGCATAGGATTGCTCAGTGTGACTGGTTTTGCAGAGGACATGTCCTGAAGGATGAGACCCTAAGAGGAACTGGAGTCTTATTCTTGTCTTGGGCCTTGGGGACCTCAGCTGCCAGCAATGGACCTAGTTACCCAAATCCCCAACAGACAGGTTTCACAACTCATTCTGCTGTCAGGAGTCCCAGGAAGGGATGCCTTCCTCCTGACCCAGGCCCCCTGGCTGCTTTCAACAAAGGCTTCTGTGTGGAGCAGCAAAAGAGATCACTTGCTTTCTTTTGCTAAAGCCAGCCTTTTAGCTGTTGAGTAGCCGTTCAATGCAGGCTCCTTCCGGGGCCTGACCTCCCTGCACACAGAGCCCCCTTCTTCGCCAGGGCCATCTACAGCCTGTTGAGCTGTAGGTACCCCCCAGCATGTTTAGAGGTGACCTGTGGTCCCAGGGTCTTTGTTTCTACATGTTCCCTTCACTGTCTTCACAGCTGTACTTGGGCTTTGGTCCTTTACCTTGGCGCCTCCCCTCCCATGTCCTCCTCTAGGTTGTAAGGAGCCTGCTCTGGGCCTGGTGCTTCTCCCTTGGGCTCCGAGAGGCCCCAAGAGAAGTCTCTTGCCAAGTTGTTGAGTACGCTCGCTCACCTGAGGACTATTAGGTGTAACATCTTTATTTCATTGCCGTTTTTGTGATACCCCATGGCTTTTCCTCTTGGCAGGGAGGCACACTCTTTCTTACATGGTGAGTGGGGTAGGGGGGTCACTTCACCTGTGGGCTGTGCCCTCAGGGCCGTGTCTTTCCTCTGTCCCCTTCTCTGGCTGTCCTAGAAGCTATTGGCCCAAACTGTAGGAATGTGCCTTCTCCCCCCGATAAGCTGTTTCCAGCCCCTTGAGCTGCAGGTAGAGTCTCCCCCATCTCCGCCTTTCATACGCATGTGTGTCAGCCGACATGAGATGCTGAGGAACCTGTCATTTTGCTCTGGTGCTTGTGCTGCCGTGTCCTTCTCTCTTGGTGGCGGCAGCAGCAGCTTCTGCTCCGATGTCCGATCCCTGATGTATTTTCTTGAGCGTGGAAGGGAGGAGGGTGATAGGGAGGGGAGAGGGGGAGGGCCAGACATTATGAGAGCGAGCGAGGGCTGTGGGGCCGGCAGCAGGCAGTGTGGAGCCCAGGAGCCTCCAGACAAAGCACTCTGCTGCCATTCTATGAGGGCACACATCCACGGCAGCAGGACCACAGCTGCCTGGCTGGGGGATTACAAGCAGGAATGAATCAGCAGCCGGGGACACTTGACTTCATAGACACACAAGAGCCTGCCGCCTAGGTTCCCTGGAGCAGACAGCCCCACTCAAGGGCAGGGCACCCAGCGTCTCGGAGGGCTGCTGCAGCGTGCATCGGGAGGCCGCCGGGTCCCAGACCACCAGCTGTTCTGCAGAGGACAGAGGAAGGGGAGCCTAGGACAGTGGGTTGCCAGAGGCTCCCAGATAACCAGGCCTTGGCCTGCCTCGAAGGGCAGAAAGTGCCAGGAACAACAGAATGACTTTCACCGTGTCAAGAGTTCTCTGGAGGTGATGTTTTCATAGTTGGTTCTTCTTCCTTCCTTGCTCTTTTTCCCTTCTTTCATCCGTTCTTACCCAGGAAAACTGGAGAAGCAGGTGGGGTTTAGGTGCTCAGCTCAGGTCTGTAGGGAGGGCTGAACTCGGTTCCTCCCCACCCCACCACACGCCCCTGTCCGCCGTGAGCAGAGCAGATACATGTCGTCCCTTCCCCACTTGCCCTCAGAGGAGAACATCAAGATCGGGAGACCCAGGGAGGACAGTTGCTGTCTTTATCACTCAGCTGAACAGAGGACGGCGCCGAACATGAATAGACTTAAGCTGCCACAGCTCAGCTGACAGAGGACTGCTTCCTTTCTTTCATCTGGGCTGGGTTTTGTCGTCTTTAGCCAAGGACTGGATCTGCCTGCCGGCTTTCCACCTGAGCAGGCAGGCGAGTCACAGGAGCAGCCACTATCAGGAGAGGAAAATGAATGCCCAGCCCCAGCAAAAGAGCCCGGCCTGGGAAGGCAGCCCTTCAGACAGCGTCCTGGCGTGGGAGACGCCCCGCTCGCCAGCAGCCAGAGTCTAGCTGGGGACTGGGCTCCTGGCCTCCGCTGGCCACGCAGCCCAAAGGAGTGCCATGTCACCGTCACAGCCGAGCCACACCTGAGCCCAACCCCGGGCCCCTGGCCCATGCGCCACCCTGGCCCCTCTGCCTTGAGCCTCTGAGCACAAAGGGCTGGTGGCCATGGTGTGCTTATTCCGGGACTGCTGGGGCAAAACAAGTAAAAGTCTCTTTTCTCCCCACTGCCGGGTTCTGTGCTGCTTGCGTTGCATGTGCCGGGTCCCTGTGAACGGCCGCCGCCACCGCTTGGCCCTCGGAGCCCTCGCTGTGTGCCTGTGCCCCTCAGCTGCATGAAGATGTGTGTGCTCTCCTGACCAGTGTGTGCTGCCAGGTTGCAGGACTTGCCCCTCGCCCACAGCCCCACGGGGGCTCCAGAAGTTGCATGGATGAGAGGAGCCCCTGAGCCCCTCTAGTGCCCGTGGGAACAGACTTCCTGAAATACCTCAGTGTGAACGCTGACACGGAGTCCCCCCGATCTGTGGGCAGAGACCGTGCATGTGCCACTGTGGCCCTGGAGCAGCTCGGACAGAGGGGGTGGGTGTGTGTGCAGCCCAGGCTGTCCTGCCCTTGGCCTGCACCCGGAAGAGGAGCTGCGGGTCCTCTGCTCTCTGGTCTCTTATACATAGTCTGGCTGCTTTATGGTAATGACTATGATGTGGCAGTGCCACCTGTCTTCCTCTGAGTGCCGCTGCTACCGCCTTAATGGTTTTTCCCTTTTCAAGCGTCTGCCGATTCCTCTCTCGTCAGGTTCGCGGACGCTGGAGCAGAGCGTCGGGGAGTGGCTGGAGGCGGTGGGGCTGCAGCAGTATGAGAGCAAGTTGCTTCTGAATGGCTTTGACGATGTCCGCTTCCTGGTAAGTGCCCAGAGGCCTCCTCAGGGGCGGGGTGCAGCCCCGAGGAACCCTGCCTCTCTGAGCTCCCTGTGGGCATGTGAGAAACAGTACGTAGAGCTCTCTGAAGTGACTTTCGACATCTGGGAAGTCAGCCTGAGTGTCTTGTGCCTTCTTTCTAAACTCTGTTCCCTTCAGCTCTGCTCCCTGAAACAGTTCTGTAGTGAGAGCTCTTTGCAAGTCTGTGTCTGAAGGAGTAGGGTCCCTACCTGCAGACCTTTTCCCTGCACCGGTCCCCTTCTCGGCTTTCAGACCCAGTGTTGTACGGTGAGGCCTCAAGGCTGTCTTGTTCAGGGTCAGACCCTAGGAGTTTGGGAGGGCAAGACAGCCAAGTTTCCTGTGATGACTCCCTGTCCCATCTTTGTTGGATACCAGAAGTTTCCTTTATCTGGAAGTTTCCTTCCAGAATGCTGTTGTCAAGCAGGTAGTCATTGAAGCAAGGAGCCTTGTCCAACAGAAAGGCTTCTTCCCTGCCTACCCCACGCCAAGCATCAGGGCTGGGAAGTGTGGCCGTGAAACCTCAGGGAATCATAACCTCAGGTATGGCCCAGAGGAGAGGCTGAATTAGTGGTTTGAAAGATTGGTTGCTTTTCCGAGGTATAATTTTGTACTATCTTTTTATACAGCACAAGGTGCCAAAGAAAAAGAAAAATCTAGGTGCCTTTCCTCAGGTTGCCTGTGAAGTACAGGCCCAGCTGTGATCCTGGGCGTAGAATCCAGTGCTTTTTTCGGTTCAGAAAGTAGCTCAGGCAGGGTACCCACGAGCATCCGTCTCCTGGAGGCCCTCCAGGAAATGGTAAAGTAAAGGAGTTAGGGCCAGTCAGCCCAGATCTCCTGTCTCCAGTGTGGGTTCCTATGGGCTTCCCACTGATGGGCTTGCATTTGGTGCTTCCCAAATAGCAGCTTGCCCCGAGTGCTAGTCTGGGGCTGCCGGGAGCAACGCTGACAAGGACAGGCTCGCCTCACCTGGGCCATCTCCATCTCCAGGGCAGACAGTAAAGTTTGCAGCAAACAACCCTTCCAAAGCCAGCTGACAGGCAGTTATTTTTCAGCTTTTAAAAATCTTAGGTTCTTAAATAGCAATTTTTTAAAGTTAAACTGGATATGTTTATGGTTCTTATAACCTAACCCCTGACTCACCATGTTCCTGGGGGAAGGCTGACAAATCCAGCATAGAGGTGGTGGCTCAGCCAGTGAGCTGGGCAGTTGGCTCCTGGTGCTGAGCGCTGAGGAACCTTCCCTCTCCGAGCACACCCTCTTCACCAGACCAGCTGTCAGACAGGCAAGGGAGGGGGGCTGTGGACTTCACAGTGTCCCTTCCTTTTGCTTCAGGATTTTAGAGGCTGAGCTCTTAACTTCTCACCCCTTCTGCTAATTTTGGAAAGGGTAAGGTTCCCAACCCTTGAACATCAAGACTCCCTTTAAAACTCCTTCCCTGCCCCTCCCCATGCTTGGACCCAGAAAGTAGCTAGGCAGGCATCTTGGTTAAGTCTGGCCCTGCACCAAATGTCCATGCAGGAGATAGGGCCTCTGTTAGAACGGCTCTTTCTTTTGGGGAAGGATACTCATTGAGGGAGGCAGGTACCTCAGTCTTTCCAGGACCCTTCTAGGCTCATCCCATTGCCCTGGGTAAAGTCTGTTAGTCCTCACTGCTCTCTCATTTCGTGTGGGGTGCTGGCAGGTGGAGTCTGTGTAGGAAGGAATGCTGATTACACCTCAGTTGAACATGTTACTTCTGATACCTAGAGTGGCCTAAGTAGCCATGCAAAGCATCCTGGGTAATTGCATGTAAATTGCCAGATGTACTGGAAGACTAATTGTTTTAGCAACCAGAAAAAAGGTAAAAAAATACACAAGAAGGGGACATATTTATTTAGAAACGTTCTCTTGGTACATATGGTATAATTTCCGTCGCATTAGCTATGGTATGTGTCCATGTGGTTAGGCTTTCCGTAGATTGTAAATGTTTTTCTTGGTTCTGAAATGCCCGGGAGACTCTTCTACAAGATACACAAGTAACTGCCAGGGAGCCAGGCTCTAGATGTCGGTCATCTGGACACGAAGAGTGTTTCACAGACAAGGTGTTGCTGTATCACTTCCCTGTGACAAGGGTCCCAATCAGGGTGGGAGGGACTTTACCATCACATGTTCTAATCATCTGTGCCTTAAACCCTTCCAGATAATCTTGGCTTTGGTACTTTCTAGTGACACAGAATTCACCATCTTACAAAGTAATAGCCTCTCGTTCTTTGCATTGCTCAGGCTGAGCCAAGATCTCTTTCCTTGTGGTTTCTGTCTCCTGGCCCCAGGTTTACCTTTTGGGCCAAATAGAACACACTGAAGCCCGTTAGAAAATTGAAGACTTTCTGTCCTGTCCCCCTGGGTCTGGTCTTGTCTAGGTCCAGCATCCTCTTACTCCAGGCTGTTCCTCCTGTGATGTGAGGACTGAGCTGGGCAAACATTGCACCTTGAACTTTATTCACATCCTCTTGCCTGTTGGCAGAAAGCACCTTTGATTTGCAGGTGTCAGGGCCAGGGCAGCGGGAGCTGCCAACTGTTCCCGAGGCTGATCCAGCTGATGCCTAAGAGACAGGGCCAGGAATCTAGCTCCCACCTCTGCTGGCCAGCCCCCAACCCTAACTCACACATCACAGCCATTCCATTTTTCACAAGTCCTGCCCACAGGAAGGGGGCTTTCTTAGGAGAAGAGTGAAAGTGTATTGTATCAACATGGCAGGAAGGTAATTGGTGGTGGACAAGTTTGTGGCTCAGTGCATGCTGATGCAGGAGGTCTCCACGTCTGGGGACTGAAATTGACCTCCTTCAGAGGGTGATAGTTGCATCAGGGATGGTGCTCCATGTGCTGGAGTGTCATGTGGGTGTTAAAAACATGTTTTTGAAGAACGTCTGACATTCACCAAGGGGAAACGTTCACCTTGGAATGTTGAGTGAAGAAATCAAGACACAGAAATCCATATGCGACGCAATCTTAATTTTCAAAAAAGAAAACCTCTGCACGAGAGGTGCAAGGGTGTAAGCCAAAACATTTTTGGTGGTTATCTAAAGAGGATTGTAGTTGACTTGCTCTCTTTTTTAGAATGTAATAGTTGTTCTATTTCCTACAATGAATGGATCAGAAGTCAGAAAAGCAAATAATGCATGTGTCTGAAGGAACTTGATGGTCTAGCTGGGAAAACAAGACACATAAAGCAATAAAAACAATAGACCAGCTAGGTGTCATGTGCTGTGGTGAGGCATATAGATGCTGCAGGAGCACAGGGGAGGAGAACCCACCTTCCCAAGCATGGACCGTGTGCTGGGTGCTGAGCTGGCTCACAACCCTGGGCATATTGTTGGTCGAGTCTTCAGATGGAGCTGTGAGGTCCAGAGGGTGAAGGCACTGCCAGTAAGCAGCAGGGTCAAGATGCTATCCCAGATCTGTCCAGCTTTGAACTTCTGGGTTGTGCTTGCTTTGTGAGAGTTTACAGAGGCTGTGGGACTTGGAGGGACCGCACACAGAGGAGGGGCGAGTGTGGGGCTGAGCAACCTGCTGTGAGTAAGGAGACCAGTGGAGTGAGTATTGTGAGGGAGGGGGCCTTGGCTAGGCAGGAGAGGTAGGCTGGGCTCGACCGTGAGGGACTTTGACAGCCACATTACAGGAGGCCCTGTGGTTACGCCCTCATCAGATGGAGAGCCCCCAGAGTCCAGGTGCACCTTAGATGGCAGGGCACAGTGGAGAGCGGGCACTGGTGGATGCAACGCTGGGTGGACAAATGGAATCTGGAAATGAGTCTGAGCCAGCTCAGGATGGGTTAGAAACAGACTGAGCCACAAGCCTGTCTCCTCGAACAGCATCATCAGGGAGGCCTCTAGCTCCTCCTGTCAATTTATTTCTCCACAGGTTTCTACCACATGAAGATAGGCTCCTACTGTTTTCCTGTCTGTTTCTGAGACCATGGCCAGCTTGTTCCTGTGCATTGGGGAGAGATGACTGACAAAGAGGAGCAGTCCCCAAAAGAGCTAAAAGGCACAGGCTCAGGGAGGAGGTCATTCTTTATTGTTTCCAGCCTGGTCCTCAGACCCTGGAGCTTCTCTTTCTGTTCTGTCCCTAAATTATCTCCTCACTCTTTAGCCCCGGAAGCCAGCATTCTGTGCATAGTGAGGCCATGCCCTTGGGTTTCTACCCTGGCTTCCTGTGCTCCTTCCCTTTGCCTTCTTCCTCTCAGGCTCCAAAGGGCTTCTTTTGGCCTGGGCAGAAGTGCTATGGCACTGCTGCCTGGACACCTCCCTGCCTCGACTTCCTCTCCAGCTGCCCAGCCCTGTCTTCTCCCCACATAGCACTCTAACTGCTGGCTGCTGTGTCATAATTTTCTGTGCCCCAGTGTGAAGCAGGACCCAAGAGGGAAATTTTCCTCAACTGGGGACATTGGAGGGTCCATAGAGCTGGGCTTTGAAAGGGATACTGTCGGTGTGGCTCCTGCCTCCTGGACTGACTAATTTCTGTGACCACTTAACTCTGGGGTGGCGGGGGCGGTGGTGGTCAAGGGTTGACACACCACCAAATGCTTCCTCATCTCTGCTGGGCCCTTTAACCTTGAGACAAAGCAGACTCACTCTGGGGCCCTTTCCAGACCAAGCCTCTTGCTCTCCCTCTTCCTTTCTCTCTGCCAGACCATGTGGAGTTCTTCGGGGTTGAGGTGGTATCAGCTGGCATCCCCGTAACTCCACTCTGACTTTGTCCTGTCCCCTTTACAGTAGAAGAAATTGAGAACTGTTTTCATGGCTGTGAAATTAAGTACACTTTAAGATGGATTTGGACTGTTCAGTGGCTTCTGATTGCTGACACCTCAGTGTGAACAGCAACGGGGGGTTCTGTGTTGGTGTCTCAGACTGTCCGAGTGTTTATGTATTCCAGTCTGTACCATGTGCATGTGCAGAAAGTGAAGCCCGCGAGGCAGGGCCCA